GTTAATAAAAATAAGTATAATTTTATAATATATTTTAAATTTTATTTATCTTTATTAATTTTGAATCTTTTATTTTAATTTTTAAAATTCGATTGAAAAGTAGATAATGTTTTATTATATAAAGAGTTTTCTTTTTAATTCTTTAGAATAAAAAAGTTATTAAAGATTAGAGTTAAAAAAGTAAATTGAATTTTCTAATTTTTATACCTGATATTTTTAGTATTCTTGAAAATAAGTAAATTTACTTTTTCAAAAATAGTCTTTTTTAATTTCAAATATAAATAACTTTTTCAGTTATAAATGAATCTTTATGAAAGTATATATATTGAAAAGTAAGATTTTTATTTAATGATATATTTAAATTTTAATATCAAAAGTATTCAATCAATCGAATTATTAAAGATTAAAAAAGTATTCAAAAATAAGTACTTTTTGAGTAAATTTAATAGGTTTAATTGCTTTTATTTTAATTTTAATTTTTTAGTGTTGTTTTTAATAAATATTAATTAAATCACTTAATATTATTATAATATTAAGGGAACTAATTATAATAATAAAATTCTATTATTATAATAAAATAATAAAAATTCAATATTATAAGAAAAATTTCTTATATTCTTTATTTTCTTTATATAAGGAAGAATACTATTATAAAATAAAATAAAGAATTCTTTATTCAAAATGAAATCCTTTATTAGCTCTTTATTCAAAATAATAATTCATTATTTTGAAAAATTTGAAATATCACGTGGAAGCTAGTCCAAATGCGGAATGACAGACGCAATATTAATTTTTCTTTATTATAAAATTGATTTCAAATCAAAATATTGATTTCAAATCAGAATTTTCATGTACGCCACCTACGTATTATAGGCTGTATAGAGGGCAGGAAAAAAGCATAAATAAGTGGCTTAGGTCCCTGTATTCAGATCTTTTTCTAGAACCCACTTTTATATGTATTCAAGATTATATAATACAATAACAATTCAAGCTTCAATAATAATAGTAATTCTATTTATAAATTCTATAAGCCTAAGCTTCCCATATAGTACTATTATAGTACTATTCCCAATCCAGCCTAGTCAATCCCCTGCTAAGCGCATAACCTGCAATATTCAGAAACTTCTATATATTATAATTATTATATTCATTAATTATATATATCAAACATAGCTTATTCTATTTAAAAACATAAAATTTATAAATGTTTCTACTTTATACTATACATCTTGAATTATTTCGTCGAGTAGATGTATCTATTCTATAGTTGTAAGATGAATTGTATGATCGATCTAATAGGAGTAGTGTAGGTCCTCTATTGACAGTAGGGGATAGAGTTGGTTGATAACATATCACGTGGCTTTTAAATAGGTAGAATACTTTATAAATCACGAGATACCTACTATCTACCTACCGGGAGACCTAAAAAAAATCTCGGGACCGAGAAGACGATAATATGAGTTATGAGGCTTGGTGAGAGGAGAATTGAGAGGATTGGGAGGTGGGAGAGGAAGAGGGTAGGCGGATTGAATACGATGGATTGATGGATACTCACTGACAGTAGTGTGTGTATGGATATTTTGGGGGGAGGTATGGATAATGGTGTACGAGTACGAAAGAGGGGATTTGGATTTTGGAGATGGTATGGATAGGAGGATGGTGGGGAGAAGAATAGGGTTGATTGATTGATTGGTTGATTGATTGTTGGATATGAGGTGGGGTTTCGAGGCGAGTGTATGTTTTGGTTGTTTGGTGGAAGGGAGAAGGGAGAAAGTATAAGGAAGGAAGATGAATATAGTGATTGAGTGAGTACTGGTAGTATAAAATTGGTAGATAATACAATATAAATTGAGACGAGAATTGATCGATAAACTCGAGTGAAGACATACGAGTACGAAGGATATACCTAGAAAGGCAGGTAGGTATATGTAAACCGATTATGGCTATTTGATTGATTACTTACAGGAAGAAGTTGATTGATAAAATTTATTGATTTCTTACTTGAATATTGTCAGTTAAGGTTGATGATAAGGTTACTTTCATATTTCAAGGTTACTGATAGTCGTATAAAATGTGCTCTGTATGTGGGGTAACCTTGATGGATAAATTCATTTATAAGTATCGACGAGTCTCTAACTCGCTCAGGGTTTGATGATGTATTACGTAATATATGTGGTGAGTGGTGAGTGGTTGGATGTGGTGGATAGGATAGGATAGGATGGGGGTTTCTCTAATTATGCATCAGGAGTACTTAATAGGATCTTGGTACTATGTGTGTGGTTCTTGGTTCTTGGTATTTGGAAAGGGGTTTGGGGTCTAGGGAGAGGTTTAGGGAGAGGTTTGAGGTTGAGGTTGAGGTTGGGGTTTGGGATTGGATGAATGGGAGTTGGGATTGATGGACTGATGGACTGATGGACTGATGGACTGATGGACTGATGGACTGATGGATTGATGGATTGATTGATGGGAAGGGAGAGAGGGAGATATCATATAAAGTGAAAGGATACCTAGAGAGGTAGTTTATATCCAGACAAATGTACCTGTCTACATACCACTCCATCTCCATCTTCAACCCTAATGATTAACCCCCCCACACACAAACCGGTACATATTGCACACACACGCACGATACACAGACGCAATCACACGTGACACACTCAAACAAAAAGCAATCTTCAATCGTGAAAAATAGTGGAGGGTATCCCTGATCCACACCACTCCCTTTCAAGTATAGTATGCAGTAACTCCCTACTTTCATCACGTTTGACAGCGGACGGCTCGTACGTCCCTTTCCGAATCTTCCTTTTCCATCGTTGCTTTTCCTTCGGGGCTGGGAGAGAATGATTCCGTTACCGTTACTTGGGTCTTGAATCTTACATCACATCTTGGCTTGAATTCATCATTACAGTATGTTTTGACTGAATTCATCATTACAGTATGTTTTGACTGAATCCATCATCACAGTATGTTTTGGCTGAATTCATCATGCCAGTATGTTTATCTCTAATTCCTAGATTTTGAATACAAGAAAGTCCAAGGATTTATGGGCATCGGTACTCGTATTTTCCGTCGATATGTAGTTAGATTCTTTCCTTAGGTAAGCTGGGAATACCTAGGTACGCACCGTACTCGTAGACATGAATGAATGTTTCGGAAGGTTAACTCAATTGTGTGTCTAGAATTGGAAATCGAATTAGAATTAGCAATCGAATTAGAACTCGAAATCGAAATCGAAATCGAATTTGCTCTAGGAGATTCAAGCGTGATACTATAACATGCTATAACGATACTAGAACGGTACTATAATTGACCAAGTTTCATGGAGAAAATAAAGAAGAAAGTGAAACGTTCTAAAGAATTCTTCGGATAGTGAGAATCTGAGATGAATGAATGGATGAGAATCATGACCTCGGGAGAGATCGATACCCAGAGAGTCAGAAATTAATGAATCCATATTTAGGACTTGGGCTTGGGCTTGTACTGGGATGGCGAATCGAGAATTTCCAAGTCGGATGTCGGAATTGATGGTGTTTGCTTATTAGTGGCTAGTATCACATCCTTGTGTGCAATGTACGAAGTACATTCATAGGCATTCATTCATTGTGTTTAGAACTTCCGATGGGATTTCGTGGCGGTTGATCATTGCCATGTTCGATGACTATCTACTATCTACTACCGCTACCCAGGTGATTTGATATGGATGGAGTATGTATGTATGTATGTATGTATGGAGCACATAGCTACTCGGCATTGACAAGGTGTGCTCATTCTCATGGAGATTTTCACATTCTGTATTGATTCATGTCATATCTCCTTTCCCATAATACTCTCATATCATATCACATCATCCCCCTCGCGACCTCTATGTACAATCATCATCTACCAAACATAACCCTAGATCTCTTCTTCAACCCACTCAGCCCAACTCATTTTTCTCTCCATACCAACACACCCTCCATCACATCCATCACATCCATCCATATTTCAATGACGTGATGTATGAAATAGATAGCCACTCCTCAAAGACATACATCGTACGTAAACCCTGGTCTACCCCCCGAGAAAATCCAGACCCCGGCATTCATTTACCAGATACCAAGACTTCTCCCTAGCCGAGCCAACGAACCAGCGACCTCCCTACCTAAGTCCCTACCTAAGTAAAATCTCCATCGCATAGCATACCTAGCACGAGCGTTCGATCTTTCAACTCCAATCCGATTCGACCTCTCACTCCTCCCCATCAAATCTATTCATGCAACTTCCCTAGGCGACTTGCCTTTTTATGCTTGTGATCCGATGCGATGCGTGCGTGTTACATGTTTTTTTTTCGTGCAGTGAGGTCATGGTGCTGGCGCTTGATTTGGGAATTGAGTTTGATTCGGTTTGATTGATGTGATTGATAGGTTGATGGAGTGATGGATTGATGGATTGATAGATTGATAGATTGATCCGAATCAACTACCTAGTAGGTGAACGAGTGAATGAGTGAACGAGGGAGATATGCTTATCTTTACCAGATCAATCACCAAATACCTTGAAAGGGTATATACACACATACCCCCATACATACATGACCTGCCACCAACCTACCGATCTGCTCTTGTACACACACACACACGCCGTTCATCTCATATTATATGGGAGTACATCCTGATCCGCTTTTCCTTCTTGATCTTCTTTTCATTTCTTCATGTGTGACCGGTACATGTAATTGTTTTTGATTTCATTTGATTTGATTGATACCAAGACTTCGTTTCAATTTGATCTTCCCATTTGATTTCGTTTTGGTTTGATCTCTCTCTTTCACGTTTCTTCACCTCCATCGATTGATTCAATACTTAAGATCAAGACTTTCTTTCTACACTCGTTCAATCCCGATCAAGAGAAACATCTTTCTGCAAAGATTCCTTTCTATTTACTTACCGAAGATACCTGCCTCATTTGCAGCCATCGGTTGGGGATAAGATAAAACAGGATAAGAAAGAGTGACCGGCTTCTTCTCTCATATCTATATCTATATCTATATCTATATCTACATCTACATACCCAGCCAGGTACCTCCCCAGGTATCTCTCTACATGATCTTGGGATTCTCTTCTTGACCAACGTTTCTTTTCTCTCTTCTTCAATCATACATTTTCTTCCAAGAATTCTTTTTCTAATTGTCGATTTCGAGTTTGAATGCTTCTTCGATCGATGAGGGTGGAGTGTGAGAATTTATAAAGTTTACAAGGTTATAGTACTTACTTGTCTTGTTATCTACCGTCAAATCATCGTCAAATCATCGTCAAATCCTCATCATCATTCATATTCATGTCGGTCAAAACGGAAAATGTTAAATGGGTTGATGTAAGTTTCATTTCTATTCAATTCTTTTATTATTATTTACTCCATGGAAATTTCACTTCAATTACCACAGCAAATCAATCAATCAATCAAATAAATCTAACCAACACTCAAAAATTAGGGTCTTCGAGGAATAGCATCCCTCCTCGTCGTAGCAACCCACATCGCACGAGCCTTCGATCCCGATCTTTTCCTCGCCAGTTCCGGCGAAGGAATCCGTCCACGTCTTCTTCAACTTCCCATCCTTCGCATTCTCCCTCAAGGTCGCATTGGAGTTACCATTTTCTCTCTCGTCACGGGGTACGTCTGCGCTCTGAAACCCATCCGACAATGTCGCGCGGGTAATCCCACGGCCTGTTTCAATACGATTTCTCGCTCGGCGTTTCGACGAGTTCCACGTCTGGTTTTACCAACGACCATTGCCACGACGATTATTTGGTTTTTGTGTCAGTTTGGCATTTACAAGGTCGCCAAGAGATCGGATAGTTGGTGGATTGAAGCGACGAGTCCGGATATCACGCCGTATTTTGGTGATGCGTTCAAGAGTTTGTTGTATCATTTGATTACGACGTGGACTAGAGGTTGGAATATCTATGATGGGAATCAGTGGACTTTGTTGCCGTTGTTGAAGGGGGCAATGTTGGTTTATGTTTTTATGTTGGGAACGGCGGGCATGAAGGCGAGGTATAGAATGATGTCTAGTATGGCATTGTTTGTTTATTTTTATGTGGCGAATGATTGTAAGTTTTTTTTTCTTCTTCTTCTTTCATTTGGGATTGGATTGCATCTCTCCAAGATTTCCTCTATTTTCCATGGAGTTATTCAAATACTAATTATCCCCAGCTGCATTTGGAATGCAATTCTTCTTTGGAACATTTCTCTCAGACCTCTCTCAACATCCACCCCACATCGAATGGCTCAAAACCGTTACATGGCCCCGCTATTACCTCGCTCCCTCACTCATTGTCCTCGGGTTAATCTTCGCCTCGTACCCTGAAGGAAAACCCGAACTCCAAGCGTGGTCACAATCCCTCTATAATCTCTCACTCTGGATTTTCCCCAACGATCCTGATGTGCCTCGTTTTTACTCGGGACTCGGTCTCGAACTTATCGCCCTCGGAATCCATTTCTCCCCTCTGTGTAAAGATTTCCTCGCGAATAGATATTTGCTCTGGTTTGGTAAAAATTCGTTTGCTGTGTATTTGATTCATGGAACGCTTTTGAGGACGTTGTTGATTTGGATGCTGTATGGGGTTTCGATGCCGGAGGATACGGTGGATGATAAGGGAGAGACTGTTAGGGGGGTACTGCATATGTGTGGGAGATTTAGGTGGTATAGTATGTTGTCGGTTTGGTTTGTGATTTTGTATGCGATGGCGAATGCGTGGACGAAGTGGGTAGATCCTTGGTGTGGGAGGGTAACGCAGAGGTGGGAAAGATACGTTTTCGAAGAGGATGGAGCGAGAGAGGTGGTGGTGGATGCGAGAGGGAAAAATGAGGGTGCTGATAAGGGGTTGTTGGGTTAGGGGTGAGGGGTGAGGGGAAGGAGATTAATACAATACATGGGTGTATGTATGTCTATATGTATATATGTAACGAGATAAATCAAACTTGAATTGCTGGAATGATTGTATTGGAGTGGTGATTTATTATTTGTGTATATGTATTTATATGTACTGGTATGGAAACATTGAGGGATAGAATGATAGGTGTTGATTTACATGTGGGAATGTATAGTAGTAGTAAAGTCTTAATCGATCCAGTCTATCTATAGCTAAGCTACGCTGACTATGTGTGGGAATGTATATGTTTATTATTAATATTGATATTTTATATGTAAGGAGATTTAGGGATGCTGGATTATAGTGAGTTAGTTGTAAGATAATTTGAAAGATTGGGGATGGAAAGGGAGAGGGAGAGGGGAGGAGGGAGGGATAGGGTTTTTGAGGGGTAATAGGGTTTTAGAGAAGAGGGAGGTTTTGAGGGGTTTTTGAGGGGTAATAGGGTTTTTTTGAGGGGCAATCGGGTTTTAGGAAAGGAGAGGAGTGGGATAGAGTAGAGGAGAGGGTTTCTAAAAAGGAGCGGGTTTCTTGAGGGGGCATGAGGTTTTAGAAAGGAGAGGGTTTTTTTGAGGAGAAATGGGGTTTTAGAAAAGAAGAGGAGTGGGATAGAGTAGAGGAGAGGGTTTTTAAAAAGAAATAAAATAAGATAGAGTAAAAAATGAAGGAATAGAGTAGAAAAAGTAGAAAATAAAGGAAGTAGAGTGCAGATTTATTATATGTATATATAGATATAGAGATATATGTATAGATATATAGATATAGATATAATAATAATATAAATTCTTAATAAATTCAATTTATTTATAATTAAATTATATTAATTATACATAAGAATGTATATATTTATTATTCATATTGATATTTTATATATAAGAAAATTTAAGGATATAAATTATAGTGAGTTAGTTATAAGAAAGATTAAAGATTGAGAATAGAAAAAAAGGAAAAGAAAAAAGGGATAAGGTTTTTGAGAAGTAATAGGATTTTAGAAAAAGAAAGTTTTTTTAATAAAAAAAGTTTTAGAAAAAAAAAGAATGAAAAAAGAAATAGAATAGAATAGAAAAAAAAAAAAAAAAAAAAACAAAGAATGAAAAAAAAGAGAAAAGAAAAAAAAGAAAAAGAGAAGAGGGAAGAAAGAAGAGAGGAAATGAGAGAGGAAGAGAGGTTTTAAGAAAGGAGAAGATTTTAGAAAGGAAAGAAGAGGGTTTTGAGAAAGGAGAAAGGAAAAGAAGGAAGAGGGATTTTAGAAAGGAGAGAGTTTTTTGAGGGAGAATAAGATTTTAGAGAAGAGAGAAGTTTTTAAAAAGAAAGAGAAAATAAAAAATAAAATAAAATAAAATAAAATAAAATAAAATAAAATAAAACTAAAATAAAATAAAATAAAATAAAGAATGAAGAAATAAAGAATAAAAGGATTAAAGGATAAAATAGAAAAATAGAGTTTTAGAAAAAGAATAATATAAAATAGAATAGAGTAAATAGAGTTATTAAACTTACTTATTATATCTTATAAATTTTATAATAAAATTCCTATAAAAATGATGTTTTTCTATATAAATGTTACGGGAGCTGCCTCTAGGGTTATGTGGAAGTGTCTAGAGTTCTCTTGAAAATGGTTTAGATTAGACTTCAAATAGGAATTCAATAAGATTCTAATTAATTATAATTCTTATAATTATAATAATAAAACTAATAATTGTTCTTGAACATAAAGCTCTATATTATAATGAGACCTATTCTCTTTATATAAACCTTCTTGCTCTACAAAACCCATAATTCTGTCCTACTTGGATCCCTTGAATCCTAAGCTCCAAAAGCTCCTGGCTCCTTAAATCCTAGGCTCCAAAGGCTCCAACGTCCTATCACATGACACTTATCACGTGATCCAATGTTACCCGTCGTAACAATAAATTAAAAAAGTTAATAGCTTTTTCAATTTGAAGAAATTTATTCTCAAAACTTTAAAATAAATAATTAATATTATTCTTTATTAAAAAAAATTATATTTTACTTTTAATTATTATTAATTATAAATTATACTAACGTAGTTTATCATCGAGTGGCTCATATCATCGAGTAGCCTACTTTCATCTCAATTTACACTTTCAAATCTATATTATTCAACAATAATTGAATTAATTGATTGAAACTATTAAGAATCTAATAATTTAAAATCTATTACATTATTTTGACAGGTTCTTATATTATATCCTGTCTTTTCATATTTATTATAATATTAATTAAAAAATACTTCCCTATTAGAATTCCCTTCTTTTTAATGTTTATTATATTGAATTTAAATATTAACCTTTTACTGAAATAATATATCAAGAGCCTTTTGTTTAATAAGCACTTTTCCTTAATATAATTAAGTTTTTTTTGTGTATCGATGCTTATTTAATACCTTATTTGCTGTTTGAAATGTACGATTCTTTATACTTAAAAGTGTATTCTTATAAACTAATCTCTCTGTACCCTTAATTAAAGCTAGTATAATTTTGAATATAGGTATAGGAAAGCTTAATTGATAACGAGTTATTTGAGATTTAATTAATATTGATTAAGAAAAAGCTTCTGTTGGATTGTAAGGGGTTTGAGAAATCTATTAATCTAGATTGAAAGAGGGGGGGGTAGATGTGCGAATTTAAATATCTAATTTTGAGAGTATAGCTTCAGGATTAAATAGGATTAAACCTGTTCCTCGGAATTCTGATTTCATATTCTAAGAGGTAATTGATTCCTTATATATAGCTTTAAAAGCTATAAAGAATTCAATCTTTGAAATATGATTGATATGTATCTTGATAAATTCATTAATTTGATTACCATATGAACGTTTTAGATTACTAAAACAGCTAATATTAAGTGGTTAAGTTAAATAATTTAAATGTAATGGTAAATGTAAATATATAATATTATTCTCTTTGTAGTATATTTGAAAAGCTATTGATTTATGGCTTTTATGTCTATTCAATACTAACATTCAATATTTGCTCTTTTTTCGATTCTTAGTATGCTTATCGAAATGTTTCAATTATTCTAAACTTATTTCATTATTCATTCATTTATTAGATGTAAATTTAATAATCTATTTTGCAGGAAGATTCATTTCGGTGTATCAATTGGAGAGATGAACTTGTTCTTGAATTATTAGAAATAGGGAAATAGTTTCATCACCCTTTCCATTTCCATATATTATTGCTGTAGCTCATTCTCAATTACCTGGCTGTATTGTCTTGCTTTTGTTATTTCGTTTAGTATTAGTTACTACTATTGTTGTATATATAATCCCTATTATAAAGTCTATTTCGTCGAAATTGTAGAAATCTCTGTTTAAAATATTGTATTTCGCTTGTATATTCACAACTAATTGAAACCATTCTTTAAGAAGCTTAAAATCCTCACAAAGAGTTCTTTGAAAGTTATAAACATGACTAAAACGTGTCTTTAATTCGATTCAATGTTTTATGAATTGATGCGTCTAAAGCTTCTTAATACATTTCGTATTTTTCGATTTGAGAATATTATTCGCTATATCTTCTATATTCTTTAATTTAAATGGAAATCCTTTTAAATCGATATTGAATATATATTAATAATCACCTTTTCTTTTAATTCTATAATCTTATAACAATTTGCTTAAGTTTCTGTATAAAAAGGTAAACCTTTTATTTTATGTTGAAAAGTTGTATAAGAAATATTATAAAGTATAGCAGCCTTTTGAATGCTTAATTTTTTATTTTTATAAATAGCTTTAATAATAAGGAATATATGAGCTTCTTGATTATTCGAATTTATTATAGGTTGTTGATAAAACATATATTGAAAGAGACAGGTGTAAATTAAGGTGAAAGTGGGCCACTTGATAATATAGGTCATTCGATGATAAACCACGTTAATTTAAAATTAAAAAAACTAAAACCTACTAATATGATTTATCAGTGAGCAGATTATATCAGTGAACGAGTCACTTGAAAATACACTAAAATTAGGTCTTTTTCAATATTCTTATTTTAATAATTAATTATTATTTTGAAAAAAGAAAAGAATTTTCAATAACAATAAAAAGCAAGCTTTTTATAAATCTAGTTTTTTTATGAATATTTCTATTATATTCTAAAAAAAGTAGAAATTGCCACGATTTTCGTTACAAAAAAGTTATTTTTATAATAACTATTATAATAATTTAATTTTTTAATAAATAATTAGATTTTTATAATATTTATATAATTAAATTTCAATATTTTCAAATTTCTTTAAATTATATTATTATATAAAGAAAGTGCACGGTTGTATACAGACGAATTTTGTATATAAAATGAGGTGACCCGTTCATTAATATAACCTGCTTACTAATAAACTACATTAACTTGTAATACTTTTCTTATATAAAATAAGTAATTTTTTTAGAAAATTTATAATTCTTATCTTTAATAGCTTATAATTTTATAAATAAAATATTTAAAATAAACTAGCCTTTTTTTAATATAATTAAAATAATTCTAAATCGATTTTAAATTCTTTTTATTATTTTATATAAAGTTTTAATAAAAAGATAGAAATCTTATGTCGGAACACATAACCAACAGCATGATATTACATATCACACTTTACCCTACATATATATAAAGTACATAAGTAAGGATAGTATACATATATAAATATAGTAATTCCTTTTTTATACGAAAAGAATAAACAGAAATAAAACAACCCTTTTACTCATATATATTATATATACACACTTTACTAAGTCTACCCAACATCTTAAAAGCTGAAAAATTAATGATTTTAATAAGGAAATCGAAATCTATATATTGAAAAGGTTCTAGAACTCTTAGATGTTTATATATATATATATATATATAGATTATAAAGAGTAGAAGATGGTAGGATTATAGAATAAGTCTTTATAAATATTATAGAAATGTTACTCGGCGAAATAATCGAAGATGTATAGTATAAACTAAAATTGAATATAACTTCTATAAATTTCATTTTAATTTAATAAAATTTTGTATAGTGATTTATATATATATTTTGTTCACAATAAAGGAGCAGGCCAGTGGAATGCATGTATTATTGACTATGTAGATTAA